TTTTTTTTAGGGCTGTGGCGATGTTGGCGACGCCGGTCGGATGCTGGGCGGGGAGTTGAGCGCTTGGTTGAGGAACTGGGATAGTTGCCGCAACTTGTCGTCCGTCTGGCGCTTGCTCTTGGCTGCGTCGGCGCATTCCTGCTGTAGCCGGTCGACGCTCTGCTGCGTAGTGTTTAAGCTCTCTGTCAAAGTGGCGATCTGCGCTCGAAGCAGGAGTTCCTCGTGTATTAGTTCCCTTGTTTCATCTACCAGTACCATAGAGCAGTAAGATACTGGGGGTATCGGCATTGGAATGTACTTCTTGTGCTATTGAAGACTCACCCTCCGTGTCCATCATCTCCAACTTGGCCTTCTGCAGCGCCTTGCGCAGGATCCGCACGACGCACTCGTAGCCTCCAACATCCATAAGCTTCTTCTCTGCCAGCACTTTATTTTGCACCGCGATTGCCTCGGACTCGACAAGTGCGGCTTCATCTTTCTCCAGTTCCTCGCGTCGAAGAGCAAGCGCACAGGCTTCGACGGTGAGCTGCTCGGCCGCATCCATCACCTTCACAATGTCGTCCCGAGTGGCTAGCATCTGCTCTTCTACATCGAGCACCGCCTCTCGAGCGTTGTCGATACGCATGTAGAAGTCCTTGTTCTCAGCGATGTCCATAGTTGCCAACCGAGGGGATAGTGACGAGTGACTCGCCAACTCCATAACAATATGCTCACATCCAACGATTCCGGAAATACTCCTCTATTCTCGATCTATTGCGCCGGTATGCTCCCACACTCGCATTGTAGCTCAACCACTGGGCTTGCAATATCTTCTATCTTCGAGGTCGATCCAAGCGTTGCTAGAGGACATTGGAAACGCATAAAAAAAGTTGCTGTTGAAGTTTGCGCAAACCGAAATCTATCTTGCCACGTACCGTCGCAACTCTTCCAGCGGCCCACCACCAATGAAACGTCTGGGAAACGCCGCATCAACCTGCCAGCCGTCGCCAGAATTCCTGCCAGCAATGCTGAGTTTTCTCCTTCTTCATTCTCAAATTCGCTTCCGCCGTTGCAAGCTCCAACCGTTAAATCCTTCGGTGGTCGTATTGATATCTTTTCCCTGCAAGTCGAGAGAATGTGGGGTGGACGCTTTGGATCCATCTGCAAGGCAACGTTGTTGGCCACAGTGCTCTCTACGCTGTTGCTCAACCCTGTCGACGCTGAGGAAGAGGGATGCCGGTGCAAACGGACCATGAAAGGCCGTGAACATCTGCATCCAAAGGTGCACCCGTTGCCTACCATGTCGCTGGACGAAGTGCAGGAGCTCGAGCAGCTCCCTAAGCATTTAGACTGGTGCGAGCGTGGCTTCTGCGTCCCGAGTTGGAACCAGCACATCCCGCAGTACTGTGGCTCGTGCTTTGCTCACGGTGCCATGTCGAGCGCCCAAGACCGTATCAAGATCGCCAACACGCGGCGTAAATACACCGGAGCAGACGTGATGTTGGGGCGTCAGAGTTTCCTCAACTGTGCACCGGGTCACGGACTGTCCGCCGGCTGTGACGGCGGAGAAGCGTCTGACGTGTACGAGTTCATGCGCCTCTATGGACTGCCGGACGAGTCCTGCCTGCCATACAACGCAACGGATCACACTAAATTCCATGGCACCAATGGCACATGCCCACCGCACGGATACTGCATGAAGTACGTGAACTTTTGACTTTATTGCTAGATATTTATGATGCTAACTTGTTGTGTAGCTGCATGTACACACCGGAGAGTAAAAAGGTGCCACAGTGTTTTCCTGTAACCAAAATGGTACGCTACCGGGCCAAAAGCCACGGCCACTTGTCGGGTGAACTTGCGATGATGAAGGAGATCATGAAAGACGGCCCCATCACGTGTGGCGTTGCGTGTAGTGACGAGTTTACCTTCAAGTACAAGGCTGGCATTATCGACGACAAGACGGGGTTTATGGATATTGACCACGACGTGGAAATTGTCGGCTGGGGCGAAGAGGATGGCGTGAAATACTGGCACGTCCGCAACT